CTAAAGTCCATATAGACAATATCTACCACCCTGCCGTCAACATCTCTGTCACTTCTTCAAAAAACTCAATCAATTTTGTGAGGCATGACCTTCCCTACACAAAGCCATACTGCCTTTTGCTAGTAAGTCTATATTTTTCCAAATGTGAGTAAATCCTATTCCTAAGAATCTTCCCCACTAATTTCCCTACCATCTTTGTAAGGTTCACCAGCATGTAATTTCCTGGATTATCCTTGTTGCTCTTCTTAAATAAAGGAACAATGTTGGCCTACATGTTGGCCAACAATGACCTCCTATGACTAAAGAGGATACAAAGATTTCGCACAAGGCCCCAGCAATTTCCTCACCTACTTCCCTCAGCATTCTGGGATAGATCCCATCAGGTCCTGGGTACTTGTTGACCTTACTGCTTTTCAAACAGCCAAGACCTCCTCCTTTTTTAATATTGCCATGGCCCAGAAAATCAACATACCCCTCCTGAGACTCACCATCCATCACGTTCTTTCTCCTTCGTGAATGCCAATGCAAAGTATTTCTTAAGGACCCCTGGCTCCGTGCATAAATTACCTTCTTTCTCCTTGAGTAGACCTACCCTTTCCCTCGATACCCTCTTGCTCCTTATAAATGTGTAAAACGCCCTGGGATTTCCCTTCATCCCGTTTGTCAAAGATATTTCATGGCCCGTTTTAGCCCTCCTAATTCCTTGTTTGAGCTTTTTCTTGCTATCTTTCTATTCTTTGAGGGCTCTGTCTTCAGTTTCCTTAACTTTATGTATGCCTCCTTTTTTTTGACTAAGGTTTTAATTTCTCTTGGCATCTAAAGTTCACTAATCATGCTATCCTTATCCTTCATTTTCACAGGAACATGCTGATCCTGAATTCTAAACAATCCTGAATCCTGACCTTTAAAAGATTCCCAAATGCCAGATGTGAATTTATCCTAAAACAGCTACCCCAATCTACATTTCCCAGTTCCTGCCTCTTTTCGTACTTGTTGGCCTTCCACCAATTTCGTACTTTCACCCAAGGACTACACTTATCCTTTTCCGTAAGTAACTTAAAACTTATAAAATTATAGTCGTTGTTCCTGAAATGGTCCCCCACTGAAACTTCGATCATCTGCCAGGGTCATTCCCCTATTTCAGGAGTGGTATGGCCCCTTCCCTCATTGGACTATTTGCAAATCATCTCAAAAAACCATCCGAGACACACCTAACAAATTCCTCTCCTTCTCTGCGACTAGGCGAGTCCCAGTCAATATAGGGTACGTTAAAATCAACCACCACAATAAGCCTGTTGTTTTTACATTTTTCCATAATCTGTTGATATATCTGTCCCTGTTTCACCTGCTAGCTATTGGGAAGCCTGTGGGACAATCCATCAAAGTTGAAAAATTACACAAATTAGGCCTCTTTTCTCTAGAATTCATAAGGTTAAGGGACGATTTAATCAAAGTAGTCGAGATATTAACAGGAAAAGATAGGTTAGATAGACTATTTCTACCGGTTGGGGATTTTAGAACAAGGGGACATAGTCTGAGAATTAGAGCCAGACCATTCGGGAGAGATGTTAGGAAATCGCATCTACACACAAAGGGAGGTAGAGGTTTTGAATTCTCTTTCAAAAAAGACAGTGGATGCACGATCAGTTGTTAATTTCAAATCTGAGATAGAGAAACTGCTGTTAAGCAAAGGTATTAAAGGTTTTGGGCCAAAAGCAGGTAAATGGAGTTAGGGCACAGATCAGCCATTATTTCACTCAATCATGGAATAGGCTCATGGGCCTACTCCTGTTCATATGTTCCTTATATTGGGGCTGATATTGTAAACAAATCACTGAGATGTGTAATAACAATAGGGGATTTGAACTTACCTAACATTATTTGGGATATCTAAGGTTTTACAGTAGATTTGTAGCTTGGATTGTGGATGTTGTGGTTGGTTGGCTCGCCGAGCTGGTTTGTTGTTCCACACGTGTTTCATTATCCTGCTGGGTAACATCATCAGTGCAGCCTCCGATGAAGCGCTGTTGTGTTTTCCCGCCTGTTATTTGAACTCTGGTCCCCGTCGGGCTAGATTACCATCAGGCTGCGGGAAAACACAACAGCACTTCATTGGAGGCTGCACTAATGATGTTGCCCAGCAGGCAATGAAACGTCTGTGGAACTACAAACCAGCTCAGCGAGCCAACTATCCACAACATTATCTGGGATAGTCATAGTATAAAAGGTAAAGTCGCCATAGTCCTACCAGACCATAACGCTGCTCTCATTAGAGAGAGATGACTGCTGGTGGTTTAACCTGAGGGTCACCACACCTAAGGTGAGGTGACAGGTTGAGGAGGACAGTCTTGCATGATAACCTCAGGCAATGCAAAAACTGATCCCATGCCTTTGCCATCACTCTGCACCAACTAACTGATCCTCAACAATAATTGGGACAAGGAAGTGCCTGATTTTGGGGAACAAAGTCAAACAGCTAGTCAAGGTAGCAGCGGTGAAGCATTTAAGAAGAATAACCACAACATATTATGTTTTAATTTTGTTTTGGAAAAGATAAAAGATGGTCTGCAAAAAAGGGTTTTGGATTGGAGGAAGGCAAATTTTATTAAAATAAGGTAGGATCTAGCCAAAGTAGACTGGCAATAGCTAGTTATAATGGAATTCTAGTCTCCGCACTATAGGAAGGATGTGATTGCACTGGTGGGTGTGCAAAGAAGACTCTCCAGGATGTTGCTTGGGTTAGGTTCAGGGTGGAGTGCATTATATGTGAAGAGAGGGTGGATGAGCTTGGGTTGTTTTCTTTCAAGCAGAGAAAGTTGATGAGTTCCTGATAGAGGTCTGTAAGATTGAGGAATAGAAAACAGTTGTTTCCCCTCAGTCAAAGGGACATAATTTTAATGTGAAAGGTAGAAAGTTTAGAGGGGATTTCACCCCGACGGTGATGTGGGTCTGGAATGCACTGCCTGAGAGTAAAGTTGAGGTGGATAACGTCACAACCTTTAAAAGATACTTGGATGAGTGCTTGAAACATGATAACATTCAAGACTAGAGGCCTCGTGCTGGAAAGTGGGACTTGTGCTTTGGCGGTACAACTTGATAGGCTGAAGGATCTTTTCTGTACTGTATGATTCCATAACGGCAGGGGAGGTGTTCAAAAAAGGAATTAAAGAGTACAGGTCCAACATGTTCCCCTTACGGTGAAAATGTAGGTGCAATAAGACCAGAGAACCCTGGATATCATGAAATATTCAAGGCTAGATAGGAAGGAAAAGGATGGGTTTTAGGAGGTGCAAAGGGAGCAAATGAACAAAGTCCTTACTGGAGTATATAAAGTGCAGGGCATTGAAAAACTGTGGGAGGGTAAAAATTTGGGAGAATCCCAGGAAAAACAAGGGAAAGAAGAAAACCAGAGAAAGAATAGGGGCCATCAGGTCTGTGTGGAGGCAAGGGCATTGGTAGGATGTTAAAGGAGTTACAGTGGGAGGAAACAGAGGGTGGTGGTGGTGGTGGTGGAAGGCTGTTTGTGTGACTGAAGGTTGGTGTCCAGTGGCATACACAGGGATCAGTGCTGGGTCCCTTATTATGATATATATGACCTATATAGATAAGAATGTGGGGAAATATTAAGTAAGTTTGCAGATGACACAAAGATTGGCTGGGTGGTTAATAGTATGAATGAAAGTTTTAGGTTACAGAAAAATATAGACAGATTGGACAGATCAGTGGCAGATGGAATCTAACCCTGAAAAGTGTGAGGTAATGCACTTTGTAAAAAGTAACATAGAAACTAGGAATAAGAATAGGCAATTCAGCTCTTCAAGTGTACTCCACCATTCTTATATTTTCACCTTTATTTTCTTCACTCTTCGCTCTGCTCTGGTTTCTGAATCACTACCACTCTATTTTAAACATTCCTCCACTGTACTAGTAAATGTCCCAATATGCTGTAGGTCCCAAGCCTGTTGGAATGCAATGTATCCGGCTTGTGAAGGTCCCATCTTGCCCGAAGTAGATCCCAAAACCTCAATAATCTAAACCTTCCGTCCATCACTACATCTCCAGCCACACATTCATTCAGTCTGTTATAATTGCTTCTCATGACCGAATACTGGAGTCTCAGTTACAGATTTACAATCTTTTATTCAAGCAAACATAGGAATGGTCAATGCTATGCTCTGCCAAACACAAGATAGTATCTTTTTATACACAAACAGACATGTACGCAGTGCATTATTCAAATTCCAATCTAACCTTCACATAATCACATGAAAAATAGGTGTCTTTATTCATATACATATCATTACTCACTCAGGCACGGCCTATTTTTCTTGCCCTAATTTGGCACCATCCCTAGTAACTGTCTGCACCTCCCGTTCTTAATCTCACTTGCATGTGGCATTGGGAATAATCCTGAGATTACTACCTAGGAGGTCCTATTTCCTAATTTATTTCCTAACTCCCTATTGCTTGCCGGTACCATCCTATTTTTATTTGTGCTGTTAGTACTGACATCCATATTTCTCCTTTTTTCCAATTTAGTGGGACCTTGTCTGAATCAAGGGAAGTTTGGAAAATTAAAACACATGCATCAACTATCTCATGACCCAATTCTGTTGGGACCATAGGATGATGTCCGTCAGAACCCACGCATCAGCCGTAACCAATTCCCTGGTGATCGTGATTTTGCAAAGTTTCCTCACTCACTCACTCCCTTCCCCCCAGCCCACTCCCCTCCTCCTCCTGTCCTCCCTCTGCTAACACTCTGGACCCACTCCCCACCACTCTCCCTCCCTCTCTATGCCCACACTTCTCCTCCTGCCCCCACACCAGTCTTTCACTCCCCTCTGCTCTCCACACGTTCTCCTCCCTCCCTCCCTCTATCTCGCTATGCCCAAACTTCTCCTCCCTCCTCCCCGTCTTTCACAGCTCTCCTCCCCTCCCCCATCCTCACATTCTCTACTCTCCCTCTATGATCACACTTCTCCTCCTGCCAACTCACCCTTTTAACCTCACACCACCCTCTCCCCCCATCCTCATATTCTGCTCCCTCCCTACACCCACACTTCTCCTCCTGCCCCTCCCCCCTCCTCACATTCTCCGCCCCCGTCGCACTTTCTGGAACAGGAAGCCTTAGCACCGCCGCGCGTGCGGCTTCTTGCGCTTTCCCGAGCTCACCAACAACAGCGGGACGCCTTCAGCAGACAGTTTAAGGGGAGATCAGATCTGTCTTCTGCTCTTGGAACTCTATGATGGTGAGGACCAGGAGAAAGCGATGATTCTGCGCGGGGTTTGTGATTAGAATGAATGTAGTTCCCTGGAAGTAGTGCGGATTGCGTACGGAGCGGAGGAATCAGTATAAAAGCGGGAGGCAGAGCGCGGTTGGACATTCCCGGAGCGGAGCAGCGTTTAGTTCGTTAACTTTGAGACACCGAGCCCGGCACCTCTACTACTGTCGGCTTTCTCTGAGACGCAGACCTGCCAGAAATTGACCAGTGAGTTACTATTACAGAATAGTAGTGGGCAGAGCGAATTTCCCAGTTTCAAGTGCCTGAGTCGGCTGTGCGGTCGGACAGGTTAGCCCTGGGTCGAGAAGGAAAGATTTAAGTTGTGGTGTAGCTTTTTGCTAGTCTTTATCGTCGTTTTTTATTGATCATTTTGTGACACTGCGAGTTTTCATTTAGCTACGTTTCGAAGTGGCTTTTGGGTTTTTAATCTCCAGTGTGTTTTGAGAGCTCAGAATAAACTCGACAAAAGCGAGCTCCGATCCTTAAAGATGGCGGCGGGGTGACGCAGCTGTTTTCCTGCCCGGCCGCTGTCTCCTCTACATGTCTCGTTTGTAGACGCTGCGTGCGGCACGTCAGGGGGGGCGTGCCAGGTTTGAGAGCTGCGTCACCGGGGACGGGCAATGCTGTGGGGCGGGGCCTCACCGGATGTGGTACGTCACAATGGCCGCCGTTTGTCGCAGTTTCCGTTAGTGTTTAGAGACACCGCGCAGTCAAGGACATTTTTTAAGCCAGTTTAATTTTGACTTGTACAGTTGGTGAGTCGTCATTAAAAGCTGCCGTTTCACCTTTCTCTATGTAGTCGTATTCGGTTTGAGTAGCGACAGAGAACCTTCAATAAGGCCTTCCTGATTCTGGGTGTTGACAGGGTAGATGGTGCAAAAGGGTAAAGTGATCCATCCCTATAAACCTGGAAGTTCTTAATTAAAAGTGTCACTTTGTAACTTTGCCTTTGCAATTTGATGGTTAGCATTTGCCTAGAATGGTTGTCTAAGTGGTGACTTTTGTTTCCTCATTACTTTGCAGAACATGCAGATCTTTGTTAAGACCCTGACTGGCAAGACCATAACACTTGAGGTTGAACCCAGTGACACCATTGAAAATGTCAAGGCCAAAATTCAGGATAAAGAAGGCATCCCACCTGACCAACAGCGTTTGATCTTTGCTGGCAAGCAGTTGGAAGAAGGACGCACACTGTCTGATTACAACATCCAGAAGGAGTCTACTTTGCATTTGGTGTTGCGTCTGAGAGGTGGCATGCAGATCTTTGTGAAAACCCTGACTGGCAAGACCATCACCCTGGAAGTGGAACCCAGTGACACCATTGAAAATGTCAAGGCCAAAATTCAAGACAAAGAAGGAATCCCACCTGATCAACAGCGTCTGATTTTTGCAGGCAAACAACTGGAAGATGGTCGCACACTTTCTGACTACAACATCCAGAAAGAGTCCACTCTGCACTTGGTGCTGCGCCTGAGAGGTGGCATGCAAATCTTTGTGAAAACCCTGACTGGCAAGACCATAACACTTGAGGTTGAGCCCAGTGACACCATTGAAAATGTCAAGGCCAAAATTCAGGATAAAGAAGGCATCCCACCTGATCAGCAACGTTTGATCTTTGCTGGTAAGCAGTTAGAAGATGGCCGCACCCTATCTGATTACAACATCCAGAAGGAATCCACGTTACATCTGGTATTGCGTCTGAGAGGTGGCATGCAGATCTTTGTGAAAACCCTGACTGGAAAGACCATCACTTTGGAAGTGGAACCCAGTGACACCATTGAAAATGTCAAGGCCAAAATTCAAGACAAAGAAGGAATCCCACCTGATCAACAGCGTCTGATTTTTGCAGGCAAACAACTGGAAGATGGTCGCACACTCTCAGACTACAACATCCAGAAAGAGTCCACTCTGCATTTGGTGCTGCGCCTGCGGGGGGGCAATTGTTAAACCTTTGTACTTTGTTTCATTGTGGGTAGTTGTCTTGCCTCTAGCTTAAAAGTTCATTAGTGTGTTCCCATGTCATGCAAAATAAAATTGTTGCAAGCTTATTCTGGTCTCGGGTAAATTTATTAAGATCAAAAATGGAAGAAAGTAACTGTCTTGGTACAAGTATCCATACTGAAAAGTATCAGTTGGGTAGTTTAGGATTCAAAGTGTCTTCTGTTTTGTAAGATCACTTTGACTTAAGAATGCAATTCACTTCGTTTCAGTATTGATCGGTTGTACAAAGCAAAACATTCACCTGTTAACCTAGACTGGCTCCAGTTACTTATTTACAATCTAGAGTCATGGTAAGTGGAATTTTTTTATGGGCATCAGGTAGGTTTATGGAGTTGTCAACTGAAGTAAGACTTGACTATCAACCCAGCTTAAAATGTTAACTGTTGTCAGCAAACACCATAGGGTAAAAGTCAATGGGTATTTCAAATTCAAGGGTTTTTTCATTCTTGGTTGTTTGCCAGTACACTTGAAATGAATTGCTTGCACATCAATCCATGTGGTGAGTCAAGCACATTGTAACTCCAGACCTCACAGCAAATAGACTAAGGGTGGGGGATAACCTAAAAGGCTCTAGGTGACTAATGACTGAGATCCAGGCTGTTCTAGGGGCATGGATTCATACACCTTGATAGTAATCTTGAAATTTGAACTCCATGTAATCCAAGGAATGAAGTTAGTTATCTGCATAAATTCTATAAAATCACTTTCAAAAATCTGATTTGTACCTAGTAGTACAACTTACTGGCTGAAAAATGAGATCCTGAAAAAGGAATTTACAAAGTTGAAATGCAGGACCTCCTAGGGTTGCAATCTAAACGTTTGTGCCACACTGAGGCTAGGAAGAGTGCAGTTAAAAACATAACTAAAGGGATAATGGGCTTTAGATTTTTTGGATCCCAGGGACAGCTGGGTTAAATGGGACTAGGACAGGTTGCACTAACCCAGAATACTTCTGTTCCTTGAGGTCACGTATTCCTTTAAACTGATTTGGGAGGGGATTGGGCTTAGTCAAAATTCACCTGATGAAGGAACAGTACTCGGATGGATTTCAAATAAACCTGTTGGACTATAACCTGGTGTCAACTGAATTCAGACCAAATCAGGGGTGTCATCGAATAATTTTGCCTAAATGGGTGCTGAAGAAATGATTGCTGTCCCAAGACTAAATAGCCTGTTTGACACTTCATCCACTCCCTACACCAGTAATGCACTTGCAGGAGTGTGCACAATTTACAAGATGCATTGTAGAAATTCAAAGGTCCTTAGTACTTTTACAAACCTGTGACCACTTGAATCTAAAAGTCAAGAAGCAGATAAATGGTAACACCACCTGCAAGTTCCCCTCTGAGCCAGTCCCTGCCCTGATTTGAAAACATTGCAATCTGCAATTGGTTCCCCAATGGCATTGTGGGTCCACCCACAGCAAATAGACTGCAGCTGCTCAAAAACAATGTGGCACTGGAGGCACGCATCAGGAGCAGGAAAGCTGATGTTTAGGGACATGACCTGAACTGTGAATTTTTGTGTTCTTCTAGTCCTTGCTATCTCCAAACAGTTCAAAAAGGTAGGTCACTACTATTTCAAGAATGACAAATTGCTGGCCAGCCAGTGATCTCCACATAACGTTTTCTTTGAAAAAAAATGTGGAATTGCTTTAGTGTGAAAGGATTAGACAGGGTGGAATTTTTAAAGTTTATCCAGGAGAGCTTCTTGTGACTTTACATAGACAGTGTTGGAGATTGGGCTATACTTGTCCAAATCCCAGAGAATGAAGCCAGTTCAGTGTTTGAGGTTTGTCAGTGAGTATTTTGGGGATGGTCACTATATCTCTAGTTTCAAAGCCCTATTGGTAAAGTGTAAAGATTGTGTAGAAATGCCTAAACTGGATAATTTAAATATGACATGATCTGCCAAACAGACTGGGAGCAGCTGCTTGCAGGTAAGTCCACACTTTGGGAAGTGGAAGTATAACAGTAAAGTGAGAATTCAGAGCCAGCATGTTCCCAAGAGTGAAGGGCCCATGCAGCAAGTTTAGGGAATTCTACATGTGTAGAGATATTGAGTGTTTGTTTTTTTTAAAAAAAAGCATATATCAAGTACAGTGCATTGAAAATGAGAGTAGCAAGAAGCTTTTTTTCCCCAGAGTGGGGGACTCAATTACTAAGGGTTACGATTTCAAGGTGAGAGGGGAAAAGTTTAAGGGAGATATGCGTGGAAAGTTCTTTACGCAGAGGGTGGAGGGTGTCAGGTGTCTGGATCGTGTTGCCAGCGGAGGTGGTAGAGGCGGACACGATAGCATCATTTAAGATGTATCTAGACAGATACATGAATGGGCAGGGAGTAGAGGGATACAGATCCTTGGATAACAGGTGACAGGTTTAGATAGAGGATCTGGATCGGTGCAGGCTTGGAGGGCAGAAGGGCCTGTTCCTGTGCTGTAATTTTCTCTGTTCTCGTAGAAGAGGTTGATTTCAAAATAAATGAGGACCAAGAGGGACCATAAAATATCTTTGGCAGATGGGATTAAGGTAGACTCCTTTTTATAAATACTTCCAGGAGTAGCAAGATTACCAGGGAAGAATGGGGCCCATTAAAGTCTGGAGAGGTGATGTGTGTATGAAGCTGGAGGAGGTGGGTGAGATCTTAATAGTTCTATCTGCATTGACAGGAGAAAGATATTATAGCTGGGAATTTCAGTTAGGATGGTGAGGTATTAGATGTTTTAGCAGGCATAAATCCTTTGGGCCTGACGAGATGAATGCTAGGCTGCTTTCAGAGGCAAGGGAAGAGATTTGTTAATACTTCGCTGGTTATAGAAGAATTGCTCAAGCTGTCTTTCTTTTTAAACGATTGTCTTTCTGACTGAGTCCTCAATTTCTCCATGTAATCAACTGGCCTTTAAAAGATCCTCAAACAGTCACCAACAATCAATCTACATTTGTGAAGGAAAAATCAGAATTAATATTTCGGAGTCCAGTGACCCTTTCTCAGAACTGGACCCGAAACGTTAACTCTGTTTTTTCCTTCACAGATGCTGCAGACCTGCTGAGCTTTTCCAGCAACTTGGTTTTGTTCCTGATTCACAGCATCTGCAGTTCTTTCGGTTTTTATTTACCAATCTACATTCCCCTGTTCCTGCCTAATATTGTGTAGTTAGCCACCTTCCAATTTAGTATTTCCATCTGAGGATGACTACTACAGTCAAGTAACTTGAAACAGAATGACAGTCACTTTCCAAACTGCTTCCACACTGAATTTTTGATCACGATGTGTAGTATGGGGCCTTCCCCACTTGGACTAATGTGTCCACAATGTTTTTTAAAAACAAATTGGGTGGCACGGTGGCTCAGTGGTTAGCACTGCCGCCTCACCGCCAGGGACCCGGGTTCGATTCCATCCTCTGGCGACTGTGTGGAGTTTGCACATTCTCCCCGCGTCTGTGTAGGTTTCGTCCGGGTGCTCCGGTTTCCTCCCACAGTCCAAAGGTGTGCAGGTTAGGTGGATTGGCCATGCTAAATTGCCTGTAGTGTTCAGGGAGGCATAGATTAGGTGGGTTATAGGGGGATGGGTCTGGGTGGGATGCTCTGAGGTTCAGTGTGGACTTGTTGGGCCAAAGGGCCTGTTTCCACACTGTAGGGATTCTATGATTCTCAAATTTGCCCCCATCCGATTCCCCCGGTACTAAGCAAGTCCCAGTTAAATTAGGGGAAGTTAAAATCACCCACGAAAACAACCCTGTTTTTATTTTTTTTTCCCATAATCTGTTCACATGTTCATCTATGATTTGCTGGCTGTGTTGGGAGGCCTATACTACAATTGCATAAAAGTGATTGAGCCCTTCCCATTCCTGAGCACGAGTCATGTAGCCTTGTCGGATGAGCTCTCCAAGGTGTTGTCCATCAGTACAGCTGTGTTATTCTCTCTTAGTATGACAACTCACCCATGTCTTACACCCTTGTCTAGCTCACATGAAACATCTAAATCCTGGAACATTAAGCTGCCAGTGTTGTCCCTCTCACAACCAGAGCTCTGTAGTAGCTACAATATCAGTTCCATGTATTGATCCAAGCTCTAAGTGCATCTGCCTTACCTATCATGTTCCTCAAATTAAAACAAATACATCTCAGACTGCCAGTCCTGCCATGTTCAGTAATCTCTCCCTATCTATTTTTCCTTAGTGTTGCTGGTCTTCGTCTCTGGCTCCTCCTCAGTCATTTTACTTGCTGAACTACTGCTCCGGTTCCCAACTCACTCCACACTAATTAAAATGTTCTCAAGTGACACTAGCAAACCTCCTTGCCAGGATATTGGTCCCCTTCCAGTTGAGGTACAACTCATTCTTCTTGTACAAGCCTGCCCTGGAAGACATTCCAATGACCCACATACCTAAAGCCCTCCCCTACCAGATCTTTAGCCAGATATTCAACTGCACTCTTCCTATTTTTGGTGGTATAATGGACAGTGAAGAGGGTTATCTAAGAGTACAGTGGAATCTTAATGAACTGGGCCAGTGGGCTGAGGAATAGCAGATGGAGTTTAATTCAGATAAATGTGAGATGTTGCATCTTGGTAAGACAAACCAGGGCAAGACTGACATAGTTAATAGTAGGGCCGTGGGGAGTGTTGTTGAACATCGAGAGGTCTAGAGGTGCCAATAGTTCCTTGAAAGTGGCATCACAGGTAGACAGGCTGATGAAGAAGGCATTCAGTACACTTGCTTTCATTGGTCAGAGCACTGAGTACAGGAGTTGGGACAACGTTATGGCTGTGCAAGACATTGGTAAGGCCGCCATTGGAGCATTGCTTACAATTCTGGTTGCCCTGCTGTTCGAAGGAAAGAGTTCAAAAAAGGATTTCCAAAGATGTTACCAAGACTGGGGGTTTGAGTTATAAGGATAGGCTGGGACTTCTTTCACTGGAGTATAGGATGTCTAAGGTGAATAGCAAATGTCTTTTCCCCAGTGTAGGGGAGTCCAAAACTGGAGGGCATAGGTTTAGGGTGAGAGGAGAAAGATTTAAAAGGGACCTGAGAGGCACCTTTTTCACA